AAACTGCTACATTCTTTACAGGAAGATAAAATTCATATGTTGACTTTGGCAAAGTCTGGGGGTACAAAATCAACATGCAAAAGACAGCTGCATTTTGCACACCAACAACAAACAGGCAGAGAATCAAATAAAAAGCACAATCTCATTTACAATAGCCACAAAATAGCCTCGACATCTGCCTAACCAGAGAAGTGAAAGACCTTTACAACGAAAGCTACAAAACACTGCTCAAAGAAATCAAAGAAGATGTAAACAAATGAAAAACATATTCCCTGATCATGAATTAGAAGATCAATACTGTTAACATGTCCATCCTACCCAAGGCAATCTGCAGATTAAACACAATACCCATTAAATTACCAACATCATTCTTCTCAGACCTGCAAATGACAAAACAGAACACCATATGGAAATGAAAATGACAGCAAATAGCAAAAACAATCCTCAGGAAAAAATAAAAATGTAGGAGATATCACACTTTCAGACTTTAAGCTTTATTATAAGGCTATAATAATCAAAATAGCCTGTTATTGGTACAAGAACAGGATAAAGATTCTGAAAGTAAAACTTCAATTTCCCCACCAACTCATCTTGGACAAAGTCTCCTCCAGTTATCACAGGAGAGAGGAGAACCTAGTCAGTAAATGGTGCTGAGAAAACTGACTGACCTCATACAGAAGAATGAAACATGACCATTACCTATCACTATACACAAAAATCAACTCTAAATGTATCAAAGACCTAGACATAAAACCTCAAGCTATAAGAATCTTAGAAAACTCAGGAACATTAGGCATTGGAATAGGCAACCAATTCCTGATTATAATCTTAAAACCTATGACATAAGAGACAAGATAGACAAGTGGGACCTCATCAAACTGAAAAATTTCTGCAAAGCAAAAGAAACCATCAAGAGAGTGAGGACACAGGCCACACAATGGGAAAAAATACTTGCCAACTGTGAATCTAACAAAGGTCAAACATTTAGAATCTATAAGGAACTCAAATGTGCCGAAAAGAAAAAAAAAAAGTGGGCAAAATACACGAATAGATACTACTCAAAAGAAGCCATATGAACAGCCAACAGATATGTGAAAAAATGCTCATTGTCACTAATCATTAAAGTGATGCAAATCAAAACCACTCTGAGATACCATCAAACTTCAGTCAGGATAGCCATCATTAATAATTCAAAAAACAACAGATGCTAGAGAGGATGCAGAGAAAACGGCATACTTCTACACTGTCGGTGATAATGTAAACTAGTACAACCTCTGTGGAAGATAGTGTAGCAATTTCTGAAAGACCTAGAAATTGACCTTCCATATGACCCAGCAATTTGCCTTCTAGAAATACACTTAGAGGAACTCCAATCATTCTACAAAAAAAGATTCCTGCACACACATGTATATTGCAGCACTATTCCCAATAGTAAAAACATGGAACCAACCACGCTGCCCATTGAATGTGGACAGGATAAAAAATGTGGTACATATACATGATGGAATGTTATGCAGTCATAAAAAGGAAAAAAATTGTGATCTTTGCAACAACTTGGATGGATTTAGAGTTTATCATACTCAGTGATCTATCACAGAAACAAAGAACTGAATACCACATGCTCTCACTCATAAGTGAATCCTGAACATTTATCATAATACTACAAGAAAGTGATTGGCAGTAGAGGGACACTGGCAGGGGAGGGAGGGGGCAGCACATAATATCATTAAGGGTACCTGGTCCTAAACCAGGAGAAGTGAGGACCAATGGGAGGCCCAAACTTCACCTGTACGTAGACCACTCATAAGTGGCATATATAACTAATCCTGACTTATAGTCCACATCTTTAAAATTTAAAAATTCATATGTTGAAGAAAGATGGGTTAAATACCAAGGAGATACTAAATATAACTCACAAATAATAAATACAGACACAATAAATGTAATTATTTATCCTAAAATTTGTAAAAGTAGAACAGTTTGATGATAAGCAGCATTGTTGAGAATGATGAGAAATAATATTAAATAACATTGGATAAATTATAATCGATACAATGTCTTTGGAGGTGAAATTGACATTATTTCTCAAAAGTAAACGCATATATTCTTTTAGGCCTAGAAGTACTACCTTTCAGGTATACATAAATCCATGCAATATAGATGATTAAGAATATACATGTATATTACAGTGTAGTTTGTAATAGAAACAAAAAGAGGTCATATAAATACCTGTTCATAGACAAGAAGCTAAATAAATTACTGTACAGACATAAAAGAAATTATAATCCCTCCATAAAAAACAATAAACAATATTTATATAAGCTTATATGAAATTATTTTCAAGGTATATTAGGGCTATTAACTTTCAATTAATGGTAAAATCTTGTATACATTATGTTTTTATTTGAGTATAGAAGATCCATAAAGGTAAAACAAATATGTACATGCTTGTATATAAGCAAACATTTCTGTAAGGATAACAAAATCTATTAACTGTGATGCAGTTGATATGGGAAGAAAGCTAAATTTACACTATATACTTCTGTACCATTTGAACATTTTTTTTTTTTTTTGAGTTGGAGTCTCACTTCATTGCCCAGGTGGGAGTGCAGTCACACACTCACAGCCACCCCAGCATCAACCTGCTGGGCTCTGGTGATCATTACACTTCAGCCCTCCAAGTGGCCAGAACTACAGGCGCACTCTACCACACCCAGCTAATTATTTTTTTTATTGTAGAGCCGAGGTCTTGCCAAGTTGCCGAGTTTGGTCTCGACCCAGCAGGCTCATGCAATCCACTTTCATTTTTAAAAGTAGACAATTGAAAGGAAATAATTTTAAAGCTTAAAATCACAGTTGGAAAATAAGGTAAACTTTGTATTGTAAAATATATCTTTTCTAGTTTTGTGTGCATTTTATTATGATTTTAATCAGATACAACTGATTTAACAAATCTATTTCTATTTTCCTAAAAAGCTAATATTTCTCTAAGATGATTTGATCATTTCTGTTTGAAAAAATGTAGGCATAAGTTTGGGAAACACCAGTTAGCATTTTCAGTCCATACTTCTTTAGTGAATCCCTATCAACTATGGCCTTCTGATTGAGACAGGGTTTCAAAGTCAGAAAATGTCAGAACTATGAGAGAGATCAATTATTTTATAACCCAATATTGTTTTGGGGATGGAACTGAGAACCAAACTAATTTTTTTCTTCCATGTAAGTGTATTTCATTCACAGGGTATAATTTAGGATTGTGTTAAAGTAAAATTTAAGCATAAGTAAATGAATATAATGAGAGTCAGGCAGCATGGATTTTTTGAACCAACTCTATATTAGGTGACTGCCTGTCCTTGTACAAATCTCTTTTTTCTAGGAATCAGTTCTTGTATCTTTGAAATGACTGATTGATTTGTTCTGTGTTTATTGAAAATTATTTAAGAGATTTACTCATTTACTCAGGACCTTATTAACTATAACTCTCTCTGAACTTGCAAGCAACCCAGTTTTCCAAAGTTCCAGTGTCTAGGTAAATGCTCCCATCTTTCAAGCTATCTTAAATCAAATTAATACTTATTTAGACAAGTACTTGAAACAGGGCATTATATGAGTTCTTGTAAACATTTTACTAGGTGAAGTCATATTTTTTCAAATTATTTAAATACAACTGATGTTCATTTAAAGTTTCCTTTCCTAGCCAGGCTCGGAGGCTCAGCCTGTAATCCCATGCCTTTGGGAGGCTGAGGTGAGTGGATTGCCTGAGCCCGCGGGTTCGAGACCCGCCTGGGCAGCGAGACCTCATCTTTACAATAAATCAAAAAATCAGCCGGACGTGGTAGCGCGTGCCTGTAATTCCGGCTACTCGGAAGACTGAGGCGGAAGGATCGCTGGAGCCCAGCAGGTGAGGCTGTGGTGGCCGGGAGCGGCCACTGCACTCTAATCTGGGCGACCAAGTGAGACGCCAACTCAAAAAAAAAAAAAGTTTCCTTTCTTTGATTACTTGCAGCACACATTATCCAAATCACAATATGTTCTTTTTTAAAAACAAAATTTATAATACGACTTCTTCCACAGCCAAAATTCAAGTTTTATATCTTCCATTGCTTGTATCTAATTGGCCCTTTTCATTTTAATTGTAGATTCATAATTAGAGGTGAATGAAAACAGATATTTTATACTAAAAGGAACTTTCCAGTTTGTAATTCAGACCAAATATTGAGTTGTTATTCAGGTAGGATGCAACATGAAAGACTGATACAGCAGTGCCTCCCAGGATGAGGCTCTGGTATCATCTGGCATGTACTGCAGACCTCCTCTACAGGAACGCAAGACTATGGAAGAGTCAACAGAATGTAGAAACGGACCCATCACTCAGCTACCCTGATCCCTCTGTTCATGTACCATCATGAGACAAATCTAACACAAAGCATGACTGACTCTAGGATTATCTATGCTATTATCTTCCTTCATTCCCGAGATTGATTAAGGTCTAACTCTAGTTTGTTTTTATAGTATTGAGTAGAAAATTAGTTTGTTTCCCCAGGCCCCGTGGAGGACCTATGGGAGATTTCCTACACAAACTAACTTTCATTGGCTAAGTGAAGCCAACTTCCTTAGATTATACATTTTATTTCTTCATTTTTTTTTCTTAGAAAAAATAAAACTGGTTCCAAAGAATAGGGAGTGAAAAAAATTTCTAAAATAAGTCATGTAATGAATAGCCTAGATTGAAGCACATTTAATGTTTGAATTATACACGTTTAGATTTATTTTCCAAAAGTCATCAAAGTATCAAAAACATATCATCTCTATATAATCTCTAGGAGGTCATGAGTAAAGTTTGCTATTTAACATGTCCTCCCAAGACCTCTCAAATTAAATCTTCTATTATTAAATCAACAGTCTTAAGGCTTTAAAACATTTAAATATCATGATGAAATTCTTAGACGTCATATTGATTTTCTATATCCAAATCCCATAAACATCTTTTCCCCTTGCAGGCAGAATTCACAGCCATGAGGGAGCAGTACATGCGAGGTGGGGAAGGCTTCATCATCTGCTATTCGGTCACCGACCGCCAATCATTTCAGGAGGCTGCCAAGTTTAAAGAGCTAATTTTTCAGGTCCGTCACACCTATGAAATTCCCCTGGTGTTGGTGGGTAACAAAATTGACCTGGAACAATTCCGCCAGGTGAGTGCCAATTCTATTTATTAGCTTCTGTTTTTCACTTTAAGGACATGTAGTATAAAATATGACTGCTTTACAAGGTTCACACTGAGAATTATGAGAAAAAAATTATGTTTTTATCAGCATGATTTTTTCTAAGAAACCATTACAGTTCTGTGTTCGACTGTGTTGGCTGCAACAATATATCTCATCCCATATGCTATTTTGCCATGTCCTCACCACTTTTCCATTCCCTAGGATATGGACTCATACTGAATACAGTAGACGTAATTCTGTATAACTTCTGAGACTGGACCTTAAGTGTCCTGTGGATTGTGCTCTTGTCACTTAAACTCCTCTCCCTTGGCTCCAGTAAAGAAACTCAAGCTAACTATGTGAAGACAATCATATGAATAAAGTGAGACCCTGGCTGCTCATGCCTGTTCCTGCCATAGCACTACACATGTGGGTAAAGTCATTTTACATGTCCCAGCACAAACCACCATTTAACTGTAACCTCATTGGATACCCAAGCAAATCCAAATAAAAACAGTACAATCTCCCAACTAAACCGTGACTGGATATCTGACCTAGCGAATCAATGGAAAATTAAATAAAATTGTTTAAGCCAGCACATTTGCAGTAATTTTGTTGTTGTTGTTGTTGTTGGAGTCTCACTCTGTTGCCCAGGCTGGAGTGCAGTGGCATGCTCGCGGGCACCGCAGCCTCAACCTGCTGGGCTCAGGTGATCCTTCTGCCTCAGACTTCCCAGTAGCTGGAACTACAGGCACACGCCACCAAGACCAGCCAATTTTTTTTGATATATTGTAGAGAGTAATTTTTAATACAGCAGTAGAACAGCAAAACAGGATCCATCCTTTCTTCCAGAATTAGAACAATCCACTACTTCTCAGGTTGAAACAGAAATTGCTCCATACCATCAATATCCTTCAAGCTGCCCCTGCTCTGTCACTGAGATCCAAACAGTCTCACAATTTTTTTCAAGCAAACAAAATCAATAAGGCAGAAACTATGTCTAGCTTAGATTGGGATCCACAGCCAGAATTCATAGTTTGTTCATTACGTTTCATTCTCATCTGGTCAGATACTACTTCTTGGGCAGAGCTTGATAAACAAACTATGGTGGCTTCTTTTCTGGGATCTCTGCATGGTAATGATATATCAGTTGGTTCAGCAATCAGGCAATTCTTCTCACAATTCCATTGCTGTGACTCACTTTGTATAAAGAAACACGACCGAGAAGTTGCCCGCAAATCAAATTTTTGTAAATCTAATTCTCCTCATAGAGTTGCTTAGTAATAATGCTTCATCTTTATTTGTATTGACCTTAAATTTGAACTAGCTTTTAATAGTTCATATTATTCCAGTTAATGATTTATTTTTAACCTACTCAAGTCTGCTGATAAAACCTTTTACAAAGGTAAGATCTTCATGAAAGCATATAGCTTTCTCTTATTTTAAGTGTTTATAAATTTGAATTTTCATATCTAATGCATTTTAAGTTTTTTGAACGTGAAAACATGTCATATAGAGCCAATGTGTATAAATTTGTGCTTAACAGGGAAACATATTCCTATGATTTAGTGCAATGCATTTTTATGGTGCCACTTTTATATATTTTACTTGAATGTCTGAACATTTTAAAGGGGCAGCTAACTATTGTTTTAGGAACTATAATATTTGTTTTCTCTTCTGCACTTATTCTGATGCCTTACTTTGCTGTTTCCCTTTCTCTAAAGAAATGTTTACTGTGGTATGTTTGCACTTCTGTGGGTTAAGAATTCAAGCTTATCTCACCAGTGAGATATGAATCTATTTCCAGACACTTGGCAGAAAGAGAAGGATAGGCCTAGTAACTGAACCTTTCGATTACTTTTCTGAAGAGTAGGAATACTTTACTTGCCTTAGGGCATCTAGGTAGTAGAATGAGAGAGCACCTTAAAAAGTATACCATCTGTGATTGCATGACTACTTTTGATGCACATCTAAGAACTCCTTGAGAACAGAAACCTGTGATTGGGTTCCAATCAAGAGCACTCTAAGTGACTCTGAGAAAGCTAATGAATTTGAGAACATTCAGGGGATTTTTCAGGCCAAAGTTAGTGAGAGTCTCTTTACAATGACTGTTCCTCATGGATCCAAAGCTGACTGAAACTTGCTAATTCTTTAGGCCCTGCTTTCCTGGGCTCAAAGGTTGGGGCTTAGGCTCTCACAAAAGTATGTTCATTAGGATGCTATCCCAGCCTGGATAATTTGCTGTTTCCTTGAGATTAGCAGTGAACTGATCCAAAGCCTCACAAACATCATTGCAACAAATATCCCCCCAAAGAGAGTAAACTGAATAATTTCGCAGATTTGCCAGACTTCCCCTTGTAGATAAAAGTGAGTTTTGTAAATATGATAGTCATAGATAATGCTAAAAACATGAAAACACAAATTAAAATTTTTGTAAAAATACTCATGCACCAGTGCCTCTAATGATGAAGTGTTGTTGTTCAAATTTGGTTTCTAGTTGTGACATTTGTGATGAAAATAATTATTCCTAAAACTGCAGAGTGATTTTTCCCAGTTATAAGGCAAACATTTGATAAAATGAGTACATTGAAAGAAATTGGCTTTAGTAAACTTTTGCAGTTAATCATGATAAAATTAAGATTAAAACATCGATTATATGTACTCTTTTTGTTACATCAATATTTGAGAGGTTAATTCTCTGTTTTTTCATCTAAAAAACACACAAAATAAAAACAAAGATACTGACATCTAGGTGATTCACAGCTCAGAGGAATTTTATGAGGATTCTTAGAGCATTAAAGTTAAACTCTCAAAGACAAAGTCACACTGGTGCTCTGGTGTAGTGGTGAGAAGCAGAGAAATAGCATTCTCAGTAGACAACTGCTCTTTCTTGTGGTCTACATTGAAAGAAATTGAAAGGAAAGAATCCTGTTGATTAAAGTTGTTCCTTTTCATATTTGATAGAGTAGTTGCCCGTGTTCTTAAGGCATTTTGGGGAATCTGAAGGCTCTTTCTACCAAAAAACAAACAAAGAAAAACAAACCTTCATACATGATGTCTTTATCATTATTCAAGAGGCTCAATGTAAATGCTATTGTTTTATCTGGAAACAGTATTTGTTTTGATGTTCATGATGCCGATATGCTTAGTATTCACAAGACTCTGTACCAAACATGTTATATACATTATTTTATTTAATCCTCACCACAAGTCCATGAAGTAGGCTTCTTTATGCCCATTTACCTATGAGTCAACTAAAGTTGAATGCATTCAGTAACTTGATCAATGTCACCTAACCAGTTAAAGTTGAGGGACAAAACCCAGTGTGTTCTGACTTGAAATATTGTGTTTTGTTGTTGGCCTATCCTCCACTCTCATTTTATCATGAATTTATATTTATGTTATCCTCCGGATCTTAGCCTGCTCCTCAGAGAAAGGAACCTAAGCAATAGCATTTTACTGGCAAGAAAGAACAGGAAAGATCAGAGTGATAATTCTTTGGATGCAGAATGAGTAGCTCCAGGCCCTGGACAAGTCACTAATTGTCAAAAGTTGGGGAAAAAGAAGAGATGAAAAATAAAAATAAGGAAACGGGGCTCAAGACTACTGACTACTAAAAGGCCTTGTTTTCTAATCAGCTGTACAATTTGGTCCAAAATCCATCCATACTGCTCTATGTCTTTCTTAATTCCTGGACGACCTTAGGATCTCTGAGCTCTCATAGTCTTTGTCCCTGTTCGTTAAGTATTCTGCCTTCCCACTGAAGAGTAGAAGGAGATAATTCCTAATTTCTGTCTTTTCAAAACCCTGACCAACTGTGCAAAGTAGAAATGGTCTATGAATAGAATACATTTCAGTGATTTAGGAGCCAGATTTAATAAGTTGTACATCAGTTGCAGACCACAAACTGTTTTGTCCTAAAGACAGACCATGACAAACCCTCTTCTCACAATCTAAAAGCAGATTAGCACTCAGCTTAAGGCCTTGAAACTCTGCATTCTACAGTCTGAGTAAATCCTGAAGTGCTGAGTTGAAATAGTGAAAGACCTTTTATTTATTATTTAGTGAGATATCTAATGAAACTAGTATTATTCCTTTACTGAGAGAGATACAAGGAGCTATGGAAGTTAGAAATTACTGGATTAAAACACACACACACACGCATACACACACACACACACACACACACACACACACACACATCTATGTAGAGTTATATCAAGTATCTACCTATCTTTGGAAAGTGGTGACATTTTTGGAATGCTCTAATGGAATGATTAACCTAGTCCTTTTCCTTAAAGACTTTTCATTCTTGTCAGGATCTATACATGTAAAGTAGGTAGAAAATAATATTAAACAACACACTTAAATGTTTAACAGTATGACACAATCTGCAAGAACAATCATTGTTGAAAACCAGAAAAGTGCCTTGTGAGCAAAGCATTTGAGGAAGGCAGATGCTAAAGGTAGAAATATCCTGACCAGGTAGAATGGATCTGGTGATTAGTTACAGTTATTTTAGGAAAGACCAGAGAGAATAAATCCAGGGAAAAAGAAAGAAATCTTGGGGCTTATAGAGTACACAAAAACAGTAGAGTGCTCAGTGGAGAACTGGGAAGATCAACCTGCCTAGTATGCACATACCAAGCATCCTCAGTGTAATTTCATAGACAATGCCTGCCTCGACACATTTAATCAAAAACAAAACATGAATATGTACCAGAGTGTATTGGATATGTTGTAATGTAGTAATTAACTGCAAGCACCACTCAAACTTAAAAAATAAGAGTGTAGCACTTCATCATCTTTCACTATCGATGCATAGAATCATTTATATAAATATATTTTCAAAATGATAAGGGTTTTTTTTTGAAGAGGAAAAGGTTTGGTAATTTACTCATTGTTATGAAGCTAGATACTCAAATTCAACAGATTATTTAGCCTTAATTCTCTTTTCTATGGCATAGTCTTTATGTTTTTATATTTTTTGTCTTTTAAAATTTATTTCATTTTATTATAAAGATGTGGGGTACAAGTCATGATTAGGTACACAAGTAGTTTAGGTGCAGGTGAGATCTAGGCCCCCAAATGGTCCTCACTTACTGTTTTAGGGTCAGTATATGCTATTTTAATTAGTTAAATAAATGTGAAGTTACTAATTCCAATTGAGATGGAAATCAAAACAAAAGTTAGACAAAACAAACATGATTTATCCAAATTAGTGGACTGTAATATAACTGGAATTTGAACTCAAATCTGCTTTCAGTCTCTTATATTTATTTACTTATTGCTATTGTTTTCTTCATTCGGTTCATTTTGCAATCATCCAATGGATAACTGGCATTTTTTATTTTTAAGAATCTGAGCATAAGAGTGTGAACATGGCAAATAAAATCTCTGTAAGAATCTTAAATTGCAGTAGAGAAAACTTGTAATGAACAATTTGAGTATGTACATGTATATTCCAATTGCACAATGCAAACATGGTGCTATGGATAAAATTATACACACACATATGCATCCACACCCATGCACATACAATTTCAAGTAGTTAGAAGAGCAAGCAAGAAAATGAAACCAAGGAAGAGAATGGCATATGGAGTGGGTGACTGAGAGCTCTACCTTCTCTAGAATGATAAGAAAACCCTCTCCAAAAAGATGGCATTTAGTAGAAATCTGGAATGCAGACAGAATTTGGGGAAAGGGCATTCCAAATGGAGCCAACAGCTTTTGGAAAATCTTAACATTGGGATTTAGTTCAGCATGTTTGGAACCAGAATAGTTGCTGAGGGGACAAGGTCAGATAATCGAGGGCTTTGAAAGTTCTTTGGAAAGAAATGTGTATTTTATTTTATGTGTGAACAGGAATTGTTTAAAATACTTGAACAGAGTTGTAGCAGAAATGTCTTTTTATTTGGTCAGTCTGACCGTTGGATGCAGCAACAATGAAACAGGAAGAAGAGTCTGAAAATCCCTTAAGACATCAGGATGAGAAATGCTAGTAGCTCAGGAGAAAGTGACAGGACTGACTATTCCTGGATTCCAGACTCATACAGTGCACTGACAGAATGGCAGGTGACAAAATTACAATGAGGTTTGGAGACCTTTCATGTAGGGATGGACTTTGCTACATCCCTTGGTGGTTCCTAAGGTCATTAACACATTATCACACAATCCAGAGAGTGTCCATGAGGGACTCCTCACAACATTGTATGAAATATACTCAACATAAATCTATTTCGAGACCTCATCTCTACTATAAATCAAAAAATCAGCCAGGCGTGGTAGCACATACCTGTAATTCCGGCTACTTGGAAGGCTGAGGCGGAAGGATCGCCGGAGCCCAGCATGTCAAGGCTGCAGTGGCCAGGAGCAGCCACTGCACTCCAGTCTGGGCTACAGAGTGAGACTCCAACTCAAAAAAAAAAAAAAAGAAAGTAGCAGAGTTGATGGTCAAAAGAATCAGACAGTTCCAGACTGAATCAGACCATCACAAATCAATGACAGACACAAGAGGTGCACTTAGATTCTTCAGAGTAGTACTTTCTGCCTGGAGCAGGGGTAGGAGAAGTCAGTAAACACCTTCCAACAGCCAAGTGCTACAAGGTCAGTCTCAGTTACATAAAAGCTTCCTACCCTGTGGTCACACCCTTCCTGGGGAAACCCATTTTCAGTAAAGTGTGGGTATACACCTCCAGTCAATTCAGCCCAATGTGGGACACTGTGGCAGGTGAATCCTGCTCCAGATCCTCCCACTTGTATGACAAGCCTCTATTGGGCATTAAAATTTAATTTCTCCCTTTAGTCAATCCTGCTTCCATAGCTTTTTTTCCAAGGGAGTTGGTCCCTATAAATATTTTGCACTTCAGGATCTGTCTTAGTGTCTACTTTTGTAAAATGGGCTAATACCTCTATCACAGTTCAAGTGGGTTAGATAAAATAATATCTGTAAGTCTATCAGAGTCTTGGTGCAGAGTAGGGATTCAAGCAATATTAGATTCTACTATCCTGTCCTCTTTTCTGAATTATTGCAGTAGTCTTTGGGTTATTGTTAGTCTTCTAATCTGCTCTTTTACAAAGTAGATACTAGCAAGTCAAATGTATAATCATTTTGTGAAAAGTTAGAGTAATCTGAGTGAAAGTGCAGGGAACTTTCTAATGAAAAAGTCTGTAAGCTTTGGAACATGAATTTTGCAAAATCAATTGTAAAATTATTTTTTAAATTTTCAGTTGTGAAACATAGAGTAGCAATCACTCAATAGCTGAAATATGCATAGAGAGCTTTGAAGAAATTACTGCTTTCTTGCATTACTTCATGAACTAAGTAAAACTGAGTAATCTGGAGATAGACAAGATATATGTACAAAAGTTTATTGGCCATTTCAGAAAAGCTAACCTAATTTTTAGGTGAATGGAAAAACTCATCTTGGATGAGTCTTGTCTTTCTCAAAATGTGGTCTCCAAACCAGAGGAGTCAATATTACCTCTGAACTTTGTTAGAAACACAAATTATCAGGCCACATCCTATTTCTACTAAATCATTCTAGTTTTACTAAATCAGGTTCCATATGCTAAAAAAAGAGAACCAGTGGGCTAGGATTAAAAAAAAAAAAGGAAAGGACATGAAGATTATTGTTATATTTTGAGTACTATAAGAGAAAGCCTAGAAACTACAAATGTTTTAAAGGTCTTAAATGACATATTTAATATCTAAAATAATATGTATATATTATATACATATTATATATAAATATGTATAAATGTGTATATACACACATATGTACACATAAGCACATAGGTTTAAACTATAGAAGTAATTTTAAATAAAAATTAAGCGATGCTTATATTAAAATAACAGAGATTATATATTACAGAATAAATCCAGTTTTCCTGGCAAATTTGTCAATAAAAAAATCTAAATGCCACTGTTTATGTTGTGTACCTACAGCTAAATGGCCTTCCATTTGATAGTTTCGTCTTTCATCTGAACAGAGGTTGTGTCTACTCAGATTGAACTGACAGTGTAACTGTTTGCTTCCCTTCTTTATTTAAATTGTTTTACAATGAATTGTTTGGTTTTCATGGATCATTGACCACATTTATAAAATTGACAGGTCAGTGAAGACTTGTGGAAGTAAGCTTGTTTCTTTTTCAAGAAAAGAGGAAAGAAAAGCTGTTTGGGAATCAGATTGGTTTCTTGAAATAAAATTTAAGTTTACAAAATTGCTCTGAACTGATTTCTTATAATGTTGAAAACCAATCACTTAAAAGAGCTGCTCAAAAGGAAATAAATACCAAATGGGCAAAGTTTTAAATTTTCTCTTATCCTATCTAAGATTACAGGTCTCCATACCCTTTGCAGGTACCCTCACCTGCCCAAACTCTTGTCATTTGTGAGAATTTTCTTTGGCTCTCAGCAGTCGTGGTTCTGGCTGTACCAAATACATTAGAGTGCATGTGTGTGTGGTTATAGGTATATTAGAGACTCAAGGCAATATTGTAAATCCAAAAGAGTGATACCCATAGGTTGAATTAAAAATACTCTGATTCAGAAACACTCACTGTTTGTTTGTAGAACCTTTAAAAAAAAAAAAAAAACCTTATTCAACTACATGTTTAGGAAATTACAAAATCCAACTTTTAAAAATGTTTATTTTGAAATTATTATAGATGCACAAGAGGTTATGACTAAATGTGTAGGAATACTCCTTGCAGCCTTGCTTTAGCATCTCCAATGTTAACACCTTACAAGTCCATAGCATAATATGAAAAGCAAGAAATTGACATTGGTTCAATCCATAAAATTTATTCATATTTCAACAGTCATAGACATACTCATGTATGTGTGTGTGTATATAATGAGATGCAATTTTATGTATCTGGCTAGACCACCAACATAACTCAACTGTAGCATCATTATAAGATGCTCTTATGTTCTTGGTCACATTCATCTTCTCCCTAAACCAGCCCCTAACCTCTGGCAACCACTAGCTCATTTTCCATCTCCATAATCATTTAAATGAATTTATCTAGTATGCATCCTTTTAAGTTTGGCTTTTTTCATCAGCGTTATTTTCTCAGTTACATCCAAGTATTTGTTTATCAATATGTTTCTTTTTATAAATAAATAGTATTCATATTTTCAGATTTGGATATACAATGATTTGTTTATCTATTCACTCTGTGAAGAAAATTTGGAGTTTCCAGTTTGGGACTATTATGAGCAAAGCTGGTAAGAACATTAACACACAAGTTCCTGCATGAACACACGCTTTCAATTCTCTTGAATAAATGCCCCAAAATATATTTGTTAGGTTTTATGATAAGTCCACTTTACTTTGGAAAGGAAATGCCAAAGTATTTTCCAGAATGGTTGTACTGTTTTACATTCTCACCCTTGCCAGCATTAGATGTCATCACTATTTTTTTATTTTAGACATTTGATTAGTATATAGTGATAACTCATTATGATTTTAATTTGTATTTGTCTAATGATTAGTGGTATCAAATATCTTTTCGTGTGTTTATCTGTCATCTGAGTATTCTCTTGAGTTAAATGTTTATGCATGTTTTGGCCATTTTCTTTTTTATTTGCATTTTAACTGACAAGGAAAATTGTATATATTTGTCATATACAACATGATGTTTTGAAATATGTATACATTGTGGAATGACTAAATGGAGCTAGTTAACATATGCATTAACTCATATACTTAGGTTTTTTTGTGATGAAAGCATGTAAAATCTAATCTCAGAGATGTACGGAAATTGTAGATTGTTATTTTAACAATAGCCACCACATTGTACAATAGATAATTTAAACTTATCCATCTTAACTAACTGAAATGTTGTATCCTTTCACCATCTCCCACCTCCTCCCAGACCCTGGTAACAACTGTTCTACTCTCCTTAACTCTCCTGAGTTAAATTTTTCACATTTCCACATATAAGTAAAATCATATGGTATTTGTCTTTCTGTTCATGGCTAACTTTGCTTAACATAGTGTTTATTTCCATTTTCATAATGTTCATTGATCATTTTCTAGTTGGATTGTTTGTTGTTTTAATGTTGAGTTTTGAGAGTTCTTCGCATATTTTAGAATGAGGTCTTTGTCATACATATGATTTGCAAATATTTTCTCTTCATCTGTGGTTTTTCTTATGATAACTTTAACATGATATTTCACAGAGCAAAAAAAGGTTTTAATTTTGATGAACTCAATTTACTGATGCTTTTCCTCTTATGAATTGTGATTTTTGGTATCAGTCTAAGAACACTGCCTAGTTCTAGGTGTTCAAGCTTTTTCCTATGTTCTTTTTCCAAAATTTAATAGTCTTGTGTTTTATATTTATATCCATGACCCATTTTGAAAAGGTTTTTTTTTTTTGAGTTGGAGTCTCACTCTGTCGCCCAGACTGGACTGCAGTGGCCGCTCCAGGCCAACGCAGCCTCGATCTGCTGGGCTCCGGTGATCCTTCCGCCTCAGCCTTCCGAGTAGCCAGAATTACAGGCATGCGCTACCACGCCCGGCTGATTTTTTGACTTATTGTAGAGATGAGGTCTCACTGCCCAGGCGGGTCTCGAACCCGCGGGCTCAGCCAATCCACTCACCTCAGCCTCCCAAAGGCGCGGGATTATAGACTGAGCCACTGAGCCCGACTTGAAAAGGTTTTTATGTACAAAGTGTTCTTTTCTTTTTGGTGAGTAGATGTTTAATTGCTCTGGCACCATTTATTGAAAAGGTTATCTCTTCTTAATTGAAATGCTTTTTCACCTATATAAAAATTAATTGAGAATTTTTTTAACTTTAAAATTTTTTATTTTAAAATTATGGGTTACAATTCAGGGTTAAGTATACAAATATTCATTATGCAGTTACCCTTGTTGATGAGGTATGCCCTTCACCTTCCCTAGACAGATTCCAACTACTGTCAATTCTACCTCCCCACCCTCCAACCTAATTGAGAATATAAAGGTGAATATGATTAACATGGAAAAGATGATAATCTGTTTTATTGGTCTATGTATCCACCCTTCTGCCAGCACCACAATAATTTGATTATTTCAACAATGGATATATACAGTAAGCCTTAACATCAAGATTTTCTCTTTTTTAATTTTAAAATTTGTTTTGGTTATTCAAATGCTTTCTGTTTCTTTATTAATTTTAGAGTAATTCTGTGTTTACAAAGAACCCCAGTGAGATTTTGCAAGAAATTGCATTAAACCTACAGTGTATCTTACATTGAATTGACATATTTACTATATTGAATCTTCTAACTCATTATGTGTCTCCCAAGTATTTAGTATCAATATTCTTTGATTTCTTCATAAGAATTTTATGATTTCATCATGCAGTTACTGTAGATGTAAGATTCATACCTATGTATTTAATCTTCTTAGGAGTAATGGCAAATAGTATTATATTTTTTAAAAAAATTCCTGTTTCCAATTATTGCTTATCAGTATATTGAAATGAAATTTGCTTTTTTGTTTAAGGGCCTTGACAATTAAGCTTGTGAACTCATCCTAGAAAACATCTTACATATATCATTGTTGAATATGACTACAGTGACTTTCAAAGAACTCTCCTTGGAAAGCTATGCACAGATGCCAGTGCCTAGTCCACCCATCAATGTAATTTTGGAACTATTTTTCTGGAATGGTTCGGTGCTGCCATTGCAAGAATGTCAGAGTCTGAATTAGAGCAACGACCAAACATTAAATTTCTTATTAAATCTGGCAAGAGTGGAAGTGAAACCATGCACATGATAGTCCAAGTTTATGGAGATAATCAATGAAGAAAATGACAGTGTACAAATGGATTAAACATTTTTCTGAGGGGAGAGAAAGTATCACTGATGAAGAGAGGTCAGGATGGCCAATAATGAGCAGAACTGATGAAAACATTGCAAAAATTCATCGAGTTGTCAATAGGGAAACAAGAACATCTTAACTGAATATATTGGCATGAGAAATGTGTGTGCAACAATGGTCCTGAAGGAGCTCTTGAATCACAACAATGCACCAGCTTACAAAGCACTGTCTGTGGGGGAGATGTAGCCAGTGAATAAATTACTATATTGGAACACCCTTCCTACTCAACTGAATTGTCCTCCAATGACTTTTTCTTTACCTGAAAATAAAGGAAACATTGAAAAAAAGACATTTGATGACATTAAGCGTGTAAAGTGTAATACTACAACAACTCTGATGAACATTCCAGATAAAGAGTTCCAAAATTACTTTGATGGGTGGATTATGCACTGGCTTCCCAAGGGAAGTACTTCAAAGGTGACCATAGTGGTGATACTCAGCAATAAGGTATGTAGCAATTTTTTGAGGATGAGTTCATGAACTTAATTGTCATAATTCATATTTTAATGTTCTTTGTGTTTAGCTTTCAGAATTTTAATTATTATGTGTTTGATACAGACCTAGGAATATCCTATTTTTCAATATATTTCTTTTTGTTGTTCAGATGAAGTCAATTCTATTAATTAGTCTTCAAGCTCATTGATTCTATTCTTTGTCTTCTCCACTCAACTCTTGAAAATACCAAGTGAGTTTTCTGTTGGCTTATTTGTTTCTCTCTCTCTCTCTCTCTCTCTCTCTCTCTCTCACTCTCTGTCTGTCTGTCTGTCT